GCAAATATTCTGGAGCTTTATTCAGCAAAGTAAAATATTGCCTCACAAACTCCTGGCCTACAAATAGCAGACTAGGCTGCTCCATAACCATGTCATTGCTGCACAATGTCAAATGCTGTCACATTGACTGAAGGAAAATTTCACTTTCAATTGAACTGAATGTGACCCCAGATTTGATTGGTTGCAGTAACTCCTGCTTGGCAATAAATGAGCACCCTGTAAGCCAAAACATGTACACTATCCAGATAACCAGCTCTAATTTTAAGGGAATCAATTTCTACCTCCTCAACTGCTGAAAATACATTTCACAAGTATATCTGTAAAAGCCTTGTGGTCAAGCAGATTCTCCTTTCCCATTTTCCCTTTCACAATTTGCTCTTTTATAACTTTACAAAATAAATATTTATCCCTCATTTTTCTGTAATCTTACTATGGGGTATTGCCTTGGGGACTAAAAACATTTGTTCTTTCAAACAAGGAACAGTTTCAAACATTAGAATTGACATTAATAAAGTGAGTGATCAAATCAGCCTGTCATTTAGTTTCCCTGCCTTCAGGAAAATTTAAGAAGAACCCAATTAAACAGTCAGCTGAAATTCTTTAAAATAATTTTTTATTATAAATCGTATTTTTAAAAAATTTAGATATAACTGAGATATGACATTATATTAGTTTAAAATATATAATATGTTGATTTAATACATTGATATATCACAACATAATTAACACCTTGTTGTTAACTAACATCTCCATCCCATCACATAATTACCATTTATTTTTCATGGTAAAAATATTTATGATTTGCTTTCTAAGCAGCTTTCAAATATATAATACAGTGTTATTAACTATAATTACCATGCTGTACATTAGATCCTTTAGATCTTCAGAATTTATTCATCTTCTAACTAGAAGTGCATATTCTTTGATCAGCATAACCCCATTTCTCCCAAACATCAGCCTTTGGTTACCACCATTCTAATCTCAGTTTCTATGAGTTTAGCTCTTTTTGGATTCCAAATATAAGTGAGATCATAAATTATTTGTCTTCAACTGATTTATTCCACTTAGCCTAATACCTTCAAGGTGCATCCATATTGTAACAAATGACAGAACTTCCTTTTTATGGTCTAGTAATAGTCCAGTGTGTGTGTGTGTGTGTGTGTATGTGTGTGTGTGTGTGTGTGTGTGTTTATAAACACACACCATGTTTCCTTTATTTTATATTTGCAGACACTTAGCTTGTTTTTATATCTTGGCTTTTGTGAATAATATACTGCAATGAACATGGAGTTCCAAATATTTTTTGAGATCTTGCTTTTATGTCTTTTGGAATTACCCAGAAGTATAACTGCAAGATTATAGTTAGTTCTATTTTTTAATTTATTAAGAAATCTCCATACTATTTTCCATAGTGGCTGTACAAATTTATACTTTTACAAACAGTGCACAAGTGTTCTCTTTATTCCATGTCATCACCAGCATTTGTTGTTTCTTATCTTTTTTTATGAGAGCCATTCTAACAGTTGTGAGGTGATATCTCATTGTGATTTTGATTTGCTTTTCCCTAATGACTCGTGATGTTGAGTATCTTTTTATGTACTTATTGGCTATTTAAAAATCTTGTTTTGGAAAATATCTCTTTAGATTCTCCTCCCATTTTCAATTGAATTATTTGTGGTTTTTTTGCTAGAGACTTATGAGTTTTTTATATATTTTGGATATTTACCACATATATGATTTACAAATTATTTTCACCCATTCATTAGGTTGGCATTTCATTCTGTTGTTAGTTTCCTTTGACATGGAGAAGCATTTTAACACCTGTTTATTTTTGCTTTTATAAACTTTGCTTTTGGTGTCAAGTCCAAAAAAATTATTTTGCTAACTAAGATCCAGCAGCTTACTCCCATGTTTTCCTTTAGGAATTTTTTTTTTTACAGTTTTAGGTATTACTTTCAATTATTTAATCTATTTTGAGTTAATTTTCTATATGATATAAGATAGGGGTCTAGTTTCATTCTTTTGCATGTGCCTATTCAATTTTCCCAACACAATTTATGTAAAAGACTGTCCTTTCCCTATTGTATATTCTTGGCTTTTTTTGTTGTAAATTAATTGACCATATATGCATAAGTTTATTTATGGGTTATCCTATTCCATTGACCTGTGTGTCTGTTTTTATGCCATATATCATACTTTTTACTATAGTTTTGTAATAGTTTAATAACAGGAAGTACAATATTTCCAACTTTGTTCTTTCTTCTGAAGATTAACCCACCACAATCAGATCATTGGAGAATTCTGGATTTAACTTTTTTTACCTTACTATTCAGTTTTATGTTTTCCTGTTACTAATTAACATTGTTTCATTTCAATTTGAAAAAGTACCTTTAACATTTCTCATAAGGCCCATGGAGTGGTGATAAATTCTTTCTGCTTTTGCTTGTCTGGAAAATTCTTTATCTCTCCTTCAATTCTGAATGTCAACATTGCTGGGTAGGATTCTAGGTGGTAAGTTTTTTTCTTTTAGCACTTTGAATATATCATGCAGTCTCCCCTCTGGCCCTTGCAAAGTTTCTGCTGAAAAAAGTTCTGAAAAATCTTATGTGGTTCCCTTGTACGTAACAAGTTGTTTTTCTCTTACTGCTTTCAAGATTCCATCCTTGTCTTTAACTTTTGACAATTTAATTATAATGTGTCTTGGTGTGGGTCTCTTTCAGTTGTCTTATTTGGAACTTTCCTGGTTTCCTGGATCTGGATGTCTGTGTCTTTCCCCAGACTGAGGAAGTTTTCAGCCATTATACTTTTAAATATCCTGCCCCTTTCTTTCTACTCCTTCTGGGACCTCTATGTGTGTATTGGTCCACTGTGGTGGGTTTTTTTTTTTTTCTCTCCTCTAATTGGATGGATTCCACTTCCTCTTCCAGTTTGCTAATCTTTTCTTTTGCTTGGTATAGTTGGCTGTTGAACCCCTCTATTAATATTTCAGTTCAGTTACTATATTCTTCAGCTCTGTGATTTCTGTTTGGTACTTTTGAAGATTTTCCATCTCTTTTTGAAACTCTCACATTATTTATGCATTTTTCTGATCTTGAGGAGTATATATATATGAACATTATTTTGAATTCTTTCTCAGGTTAGTCACTTATCTTGGTTTCACTAACATCTGTTTCTAGAGTTTTATATTATTCTTGTGTTTAAAACATATTTCCTTTCTTTCTTTCTTTCTTTCTTTCTTTCTTTCTTTCTTTCTTTCTTTCTTTCTTTCTTTCTTTCTTTCCTCTCTATGTTGGTTTCTGTGCATTAGCTAAAATAGTCACCTCTGTTAGCCTTGACAGAGTGGTTTCAGGTAAGTGATTAACTTCATGAATCAGACTGGTCTATACTCTATTTGTCTGACCTTTGTGATTACCCAAATCAACAGTTTTGTTCTTAGTGGCTCCCAGTAGTTGAGACCATGGCAAGACTCACCAGTGGCCCAAAGGGGAGGATAGCAGTAAGTATCCAGATACTTGCTAAATTAGATACCTGATCCTCAGTCAGCAGTTTTGGAAGTTTGCACAATATAGACCCCTCTTAGGGAAAGAGAGAGATGGGCATTTTTTCTAGCTCCCTGTGCATTGAACCTTGAGGTGATAGATGCCCTGAGTGCTCATGCCCATTAATAACTGCTTGTTTGCTATAACCTTATGTGTCTTGAGGATGCAGGTATGGCTGGCTTTCAAACACAGGTATTTGGGAAAGGAGGTCCATTGCCAGGGTGAATGACTTAAATGCCGGGTCCCTAGATATGGTGTTGAAACACTTTGCTCTCAAGAAAAAGCTGGGAGTTTGGGAATCCCTCCAAATTGTAGGTGTTGTGCTGAGTGGGATTTATGGTGTGAGTGTGTTTCACCTTCTCTACACATTTTGATGTGGACATTTTCTTACTTGCCTGATGCGTAGAAACCATGAAGGTAGTTCCTGGATTTCTTTTAGAAGGATTTGCTCTGTGTGTATCTAGCTGTTTATTTAGTATGTCTGTGGGAGGAGGGACATTCAGAAGCCTTCTATGTCACCATCTTTAAATATTGCTCAAGTCATTATGTTTTTGACATGTAACTCAAGATTTCACAAAATTAAGTGACATTGTTTAACAAATGTTCTTCTATTCCTATCTACTTATTATTATGTGAACAAGGTATCTTAGCAGTTATAAATTTTCCCTAGGCATGTTTCAATTAAATCCAACATATTAAGAGACAGTATACTTTCCTAATCACTTGATAACAAATAATCTCTAATATTTCTTGGTTTATGTTCTCTGGACCCTGGGTTATTCATATGTTCATAAATGCACTCTTTGCACTTCAAATATTTGAGGTTTTTCTACATTTGCTACAAATTGATATTCACTTCCAATTTAGTTCTGTTGTGGTCTGAGAACATACCTTACAATATTTTAGTATTTTTGAAATTTATTAATACTTATTTCATGACCAACATATGGTCTTTCTTAGTGAATATTCCTTGTCTACTTAAAAAAAGTTGTGTGATATTCCATAAAAGTTAATTTGATCAAGGTTTTTTCTGGTCTTGTTCAGATTTTCTATATCAATACTGATACATTATTAATTTAATTAACTTTCAATATATTATAAAACTCTCAGATTTGGGCTAAACAATACTATAATGGAGACTAAAATGAAGGAGTCTGTGCTACAAAATATTATAGTTGGAAAATAATGGATTTTGAAATGAAGCAGGCCTGAGTTTGAATCCTGGCAATTATATATTGTGTATGCTTAGACAAGCTACTCAATTTTTCAGAACCTCAGTTTTATTACCTGAAAAAGGTGATATTTTCTACTTCATAGAATTATTTAAACAGTCAAATGATATTATGTACTGTAATTTTAATAGTATCAATATCTGCTTTTATATGTAGATCACAAATGTGGTACCTCTTCAAAGTGATATCTTTTATACTAAATCTTGGAACTACTCATGGTACCTTTCAATATCGAAGATCTGTGAATCCTGAAGCAAGTATGAATATTGTAAGTTGCTAGAAAGTAAATGCTAAGCTGATAAAATAACAATAAATGCTACCATTCAATTTTTTCAATTTAACAGATCTGTAGTCAAATTTATGTTTCTGCACTCATATACTTTGATATAGATCAACTATATGAGGTCTGTCCAGAAAAAGTTCAGCCATTGTTAATATAATGAGAAGAGTTAGCTATGTGCATACTCATGTAAACATTTATGGATAAACAAATATTTTAAAATTGTATAAGGGTGAGTAGGTAAAAACCTAAGTATTAGTAGTTAGAAAAAGAATAATAAGTTAGTTCTGAGGTATCTCCTTGAAGACAGGGGTTTTTATTTTTTATTTATCCAAAAATTCCTGTTTTATAAAGTTGATGCTTAGTAGGTATCTATAAATATTTATTACTGAGTAAATCAGTGAATTGGTGAAAGTAAAAACAGGCCCAAGTTTTAAAAGAGAATATGAAAATGCATTATTACATTAATAAGTTAGGTTAATTAGTTTATATTAATTGTCTAACAATCTTATTCTAAAAGGTTTGTCTTTTTTTTTTTTCCTAGAGTCAAATTATTTCTTACTGGGGATACCCAGATGAAGAGTATGATATTGTAACTGAAGATGGTTATATCCTTGGCCTTTATAGAATTCCATATGGAAAGACAAAAAATGATAACAGTTCAGGTATTATTCAATTCAAGATAAATTGTTACCTCTCTGGGGCCTGAAGTTCTTAACTTTTTTATTTCTTCTCAGTGAGCTTAGGACAAGAAAAGGATCCGAGTGTTTGAACAGTTTATTCACCCCTACATCTCTCTACATGCCTCAAGGAGAGAGTTCGATTCTCCAACAGCTACTGTTCACAGAGTGGTTTTAAACTGCAGTGCGACACAAAGTGTTTCTCTGAAATTTTCTTTGTGGATCACTTTACTCAAACATGTTGATTCTCTAGGATTTGTTTAATTAGGGGTTAGAAACACTCTGAACCTCAATAAAATTATTCTGCAGGACTGAAGAATGCTGGGAAAAATTTTTTCATAATTACGATTCTTCTCCTTCAGTAATAGCAAAAACAACTGGGGGGCAGCAGCCCCATGGCTCTTTATTGCAACAAGCAACAGAGTGAGGTGCAAAAAATGCTCTAGCGTTTGTCACTAGAGTTATAGTCCTCTATCTGCCACTTACCAGCAGAATATGTAATGGATTACTTTGTTTATTCATCTAATTGTTCAAATAAAAGCCAGTTTTTTTCTCTTTAGATCTTCTCCTAGTAAAGAATTTTTCTCACATTGAGGACACCCTCTCAATTTCTCATATTGAACATTAAGTATATTTCAGAGAAGGCACATTAATTTAAAACAATCCCAATCAATGTAATTTTGGATCTTAATAAAAGTCACATCTACTAGACAGAAGGTGTTCACATAGATTTAACGTAATTATAATAATCATTCCTTAGGGTAGACCTAAGTTTGAAAATATTGTAATAAAATATTTAAAGCTAGTTTAAAGATACAGTCAGTGACTTAGAATTGTCTATATGCGGGGCCAGAGACAGGGATTCGGGTGAATGTTATTTATTGGTGGAATGCTGTCAAGAGAAAGTAAAGTGGAAATCAGGGTAGTCCAGGCAAAGGAACTAAGAAGGATGTGACTTGGCTAAGTCTAGCTGCAATATGATCTCAGAGGAGCCCAAGGATCTTTGCATTGTGCTACAGAGGTGGTCCCACTTGTAGTTAGAGAACTAGTTTTTGCGTTCCCATATCAGTCATTGCCTGAAGGCTACCTGTAGAAAAAGATGTAATATCTTGGGTGAGGCAATTCCCACTTGCTTGGGGGCAGTTCTACAAAGAAAGAGGCATAAAGAACCCTTCAAAAGCAATTTACAACAGCTAGGAGAATGATGTACCTGCTTAGCAAAGGAAGCCTCAGTGGGGCACCTAAATAATCTAATATAATGCACCCCTTGCACTACTCAAACTCACTTGTCTTTCACATTAAGTTTATTTCATTGAGGAACAGCTTTTCTAGGATTGTGGTTGGTCAGACTTTCTGGGAAAACTTATGAGAAGAGGTTAGAGGGGCAAATTACTACATCTACTATTGTAGCTGATTTTAATGCCACAACTGGTACTCATAAATTCTGACCTCCACTACCCATTGTAGATTTTCCTCCCTCCCATTTATCTTTCCTGATGAGGTAAGCCAGGCCCTCATCACTAAAGAAGGGCTATTATGTTCATAACAGTTCATAGTTTCTTACTTGTACTTTTACAGTTAAAACAAGGCATGGGAATAACAAAAAATGCCCCAGAGAATCATCTGAATAACAAATATATTTTCTCTGTCCCCATTTTGCATAAGTAGCCCTACCTCTTCATGAGGATTAAGGCCAATTATTCCTGTTGTTACAGTAATTCTTTCCTTTGCCTCCCAGTCTTCTATTGTGAGGAGCCCAGAGTGAACACGCAGTAGTCATAGCTTTAGGTTTTGTAGGCTGCTTACTGTGTGCCCTGGTATAAGCATTTTTTCTCTGGAAACCAGGACTTCTAGATTGGCAGGGCCTAGAATTGTAAAGACAGAAAGTACCAATCTCTAAAGGAGTTACTAGGAGTGATAGTGATCCTTAATCCCACTCCTTTTTTTTCTTGAAACTCATATATTCTACTAATTACTGGAATCAGCACTGTATTATGACCATGTATTTAGGGTGTAATACATTCTGAAGGATAGCACCTGTACTTCCAGGATATCATATTCCAGCGGGCATCTCCCCTGAGCCCTCAATTTTTTGTTTCACTGCTTTACAAGGCTGGAAGTCTTTTGATAGTCATTGAGCAGGGGGGAGGGGAAGGAGTGGGTTGAGGGGAGAACAGTGTCCCATGTAGGTAGAGCAGACACTCTGTGAACTCTTGAATAGTGGTACTGGCTACGGTCCTGTTTGGAGCGAAATGCAAATCATAGCAGAAATGTGTATCAGTCCTACTCATAATGAATTGCTCTTTCCATGGAAAGGAAGGGACTAAAGTACCCAAATTGTCTCCAACTTTCTTGTTGGTCTATTTGAGGGTAGGTACCATATAAGGTCTCCTTTGCTGACAGGTCAGACATACTGCCCTAGCAGTGGCTAAGTCTGTCTGGGTAAGTAGGCCCATAATGATGGGCCAGTGTTTAGCCTACATGTCTGCTATCATGGCTATGCCTTTTTGATCATGTTGCACAGCAATAGGGTTGCTAAAAACAGTGTCTGGCTGACATAAGTTGGTTGAGTCCTCTAAAGCACTTGTTTGGTTAGTGCGCTCTAGGTAGTGTTGGTTGCTCTTCCTATCTCTTTCCTAACCACCAACCCCTGACCCCGCCCACACACACACACAGGTTAAATGTAATTCTACAAGGCTGATGGGGGTAGGGTCAGAAGAGCGTTTCTTGCTTCTTCTGCATAACTGCTATTTCCTCTCACAGGTCTGCACCACAATAAAGCCTTTTTCCAATGTTTTCTGTGAGTTTCATGTAGGCTTCATGGAAAAAACTTGCAGGAGGATATAGAATTTCCTAATATCTACTGCACCTAGAAGCTTCACCTATACCTGGCCTTCACTAATTAATTATTCTATCTGAACTCTTCTGATCGTGTCTCCCCTGTAGGGAGGACTTAAGACTCCTCTGTCCCTGCAAGCACCTGTTTCTCTTCAAATTTTGGTCCAGATTTTTGCTTTGTGACATCATTTCTTTAATGAGTTTTTTTAAAGTTATGAATTTGAACCTAGTTTTTTATAAAAGTGTGAGTCTTCTTCCACTTATCTCAAAATGGAAGCAGAAATTCTCTACTTCTGAGCTTTTAAATTCTGCTGCTGTCTTCACCAGTGTATTTTTTAAAAAAAACTTGGTAGATAGACTATCTTCCAAGATATCCCAAGGCACATTTATCAGTTGGAGGATGTTCTGGTGTTTATTTCATAGATTTAGCGTACCTACATCTAAACCCTTTTATCCTTTCCTTCAGAATTTGCTGCTGCATTTCTGAAATTTTCTAAGCTTACAAGAAACCTCAGCAGAGTATCAGGGCTGACCTCAGGAACCGTTGTCAGTGTCGCTTCAGTCGATGATAATAAGGTGGATTATGTGTGAATGACAACTTGGGGGTAAAAAAACAAGCTACTAGTGGGCCCACCTTACACTATTCAAAAGATGTTATTTCTCAAAAAGCTTGGACTTGGAAAGTAGGGCTCTGGGAATTCTGTTAGGTGTAATGATGACACCTATATTGAATATGGCTGGTAAATGTGATAATAAAATTGTTTTATGAAATGAAAAATGGGAAAATTATATAAAAATAATATTGTATTTAATATATATGAGTGCTCAAATTACTATTATATAGTGGTACCTCAGTGCTCGTCGTTAATTCATTCCGATGAGTGGCGTGCAAACGATGATTGATGAAGCCATTTTCTCTTGCCGGGTGCTGTCATGACTCATACAAGTTCTAGCAAGTGCGATGAGTGCTGATCAAGTGCCTAGTGCTGAAATATTTTTTCTTGATCAAAATGGGATGAGTACCAGGTTTGATGAATTCTGAAGCCAATGAGTACTGAGGTACCTCCGTATTTGACTATTCTATATCCTCAAAGTTTTTATGTTTAAGCGGGACATGACCTAATTGCCCACTTAATTATTTGAAAGAAATTCATCACTGAACTGTTAAACAACTCTAACATAGAAAGGGATTAAACATTATTAACTTAGCTTATTTATATCACTTTTGAAAAATGTTTAAACTGTAATATATTAAAAGATTGAATTTCAGATGAGATATTCATGTAGACATTATAAAAATTAACAAAAAAAACTTCTGCATTTTTTTTTCTAGGTCAGAGGCTTGTAGTATACTTGCAACATGGTTTGCTTACATCTGCCAGCAGCTGGATTTCCAACCTCCCTAACAACAGCCTGGGCTTCATTCTGGCAGATGCTGGTTATGATGTTTGGATGGGGAACAGCAGAGGGACTACCTGGTCCAGAAGACATTTGTACCTAAAGACAAATTCCAAAGAATTCTGGGCTTTTAGGTACAAATAAAATCAAGTAACGTTTTATTTTATTTTATAAGTGTATTAAACATTTTTTTATTTTTTTAATTAAATAAAAGTCTCCTTTCTCAACTGAGGGCTTTCAATCGACCTTCAGATCAAGAATGCTTGGTTTTAAGCTTGTTCGTCATTTTTCAGCAGGAAGCTTTATTGACTAACACCATCCTTCCTTTAACTACTCTTTCACTCTGTAACCTGTATATTTAGTCTACCTCATTATCCTTATAACATTCAAATACCCTCTTTATAAGATTGCTCTGTGGCTATTTCATTTCTTAGACTTAGTGTTCTCAGAGAAGTCTTTATTCAGTAGATACATTATACCATGTAACTTCTTGATAATACCCAACAAGAGCTGAAAACCTCTTTTACTGATTAAATTATTTATTACATTCAAATATTAATATAACATTAGTACAAATTGCTCATTTCTTTTTCTTTTGTAGTTTCGATGAGATGGCTAAATATGACCTCCCGGCCTCCATTGATTTCATTGTGAAGCAAACTGGACAAAAGGAAATATTCTATGTAGGCCACTCACAGGGTACAACTATTGGTATGGCAAGAAAGATTGGGGCAGTATTCCTTGATTACATTTTTAAAATTTGTACATATGCTTCTTAAGGACGTAGGTATGCGTCTAGACCTGGAAGTGAAACAAGGCAGAATTGAGACGAGCGTTGTGGAGGAATGCTTGAGGAGCTTGCATCCTGCTTCAGTTCCACAAAGTCTTCTCTAGTCACAAAGAATTGGTTGTATAAACAAAGTTGTTTGAGATTTTGTTTGTTTCCAATTGTATAAAAATCGGATATCCACCTTAGATCAAAGTGAGACCATAACTATCACTTGTACCACAAATAGAAAATTCACAATTTTTTAAAATTGTAGCCTAGGGCTTTATAAGTGAGAGACTTGGAAAAGTTGTGTATATTTTGGCATTTAGAACAGATTATATTTAAGATACATACAAAGGTGAAAAAAATCATCCTCTATTTAAAGAAAACTAGAAAAGAACTTTCATCTCTCTGTAACACTAATGCTTCTGTCTAATGTGTAACAACTTAGTTTTCAGAAAATGTTCCTAACACCTAGCATAATTTCTTTCATGATATTGTAAATCTGTTTATTTAAACGTACTTTTTCTACTTTGGAATTAGACAACTTTATAATAGAAGCTAATATTAAATGAGTCTTTCCTAGGCTGAAGAGTATCACTTTCTTATGGAGAGTATCTGCCTACTAGAAAAAAGTGTCTGGAATAACAATGTATTCCTAATTTTCATAGATATTTTCTCTGACCTTCTTTAACTGTGTGTGTGACTTTTAGTCCAAATTCTTATCAGCTCTTTAATTAACAATAAGTACTGAGGTACCACTATATAATAGTAATTTGAGCACTCATATATATTAAATAAAATATTATTTTTATATAATTTTCCTTTTATATAATTTTCCCATTTTTAGTTCTGTGGAACTAAGAATCTTAAAAATTATTAAATTTAACAAAGGGTGCTATACCAGAGCTTATTGACTCATGATATATAATTTTTTGTTTGTTTGACTCCTTAGAACCCAGGAAGAAAAAAACAATAAAAATAGATATCTGCAAGTAGATTGTTTGATGTCAAAAAGGGAATGATCTCTATTTGTTATAATAATGACTTTAAACTATCAGCGAAATATAAACTAGTGTTTAGTATTTCTTGTACTAGAAGACAAAGAAGTTTTAAAATATATTAAAAGTAAACATTAAAACAATTCAACATTTACTGAATTTTCCACCTAAAGTAAAAGATTCATTTACCCAAAAAATTCACTAGCCACATTTTTACCATTGTCATTTTTACAAATGTTTAATATATTTTCTGATTTTAAAAATATGTTACAAGACTGATTTATTGAACCATCACCATATATGGTCTATACATATTTTTTAATCCTAATAATCAACATTATGTTGTGATCAATATACACCTCTCATGTTGGATTATCAGGAAATGTTTGATAACATTGAATAAAAAAATTAGTAAATTAATTGTTTAGAACCTTATTCACCATAATGTATTTTCTTGCATGCTACTAATTACTTAAGAATAGTTCATTTATATCTTGTTTTTTCAGGTTTCATAACATTTTCGACAATACCAAAAATAGCTGAAAGAATCAAAGTATTTTTTGCCTTAGCACCAGTTTTTTCCATTAAATATTTAAAAAGCCCTTTAATTAAAATGGCATACAAGTGGAAGTCAATGATCAAGGTATGTTATTTCCTTTATGTTGGTGTTCACCCCAAATGGCAATGATTCCTACTTTGAAAATAAAAGATCTTAACTATGCTTGCACAGCCACATGTATGAACTGATTTTTTTTTCATTCACACTGGATTCTTGCCTTTCTTTCTAGAAAGGAATAGAATACTAATTATGGTACTTTTGAACATCTCACTGTGAATGAAAATCTAGCAGTTAAATCATCTCTAAATTCTGCTTCTCAATTTTGTCCTTAATTTAAATGCTTTAACCTACTGTGAGATATTGCATTCAGTTATAAACATAGTGAATTCACCAAATCACTTCTTGATAAATTATTTTCCTTTGCTAAATATGAATACAGTAAATTTATTTTACAGGTATTTTGGGGCAACAAAGACTTCTTACCTTCTACTTCATTTAAAAGAACCATTGGTTCAAAGCTATGTCAACTAAAAATTTTTGGCAAGATTTGCCACGATATCTTGTTTATGATGTATGGATATGAACCAAAGAACTTAAATATGGTAAGAACAAGTTGTATGTTTATTAAAAGTATTTTGTTGAGTTTTAGAAAGCAGCTCTTAATAGAGCTTATTTTATGCTTTGTGTGTCATCTTATGGTTTATCCATATATACTAGTAGTCAGATTCCTTGCCCTTCTGATTCTGTGCTCATGCCAATATTGTGAAACTAATTTGATTTGCATAATGGGCTTATTTCGCTTCCATATTTCTAAAGAACAGAGAGCAGCTGTTGGGATGGGCATCTTCATTAGCTTTTGCTTTTAAGTGTTAGTTTCTTGTAGTTTATTGAATTTAGGTTATCTTCTATATACTTGTTTCCCATTACTCCTCCTCTTCTATCCCGGTTCCTAACATGTTATCTTCCTTGTTGATCCTTTTGTAATTGGATGTAGTGCTTGTCAGTTACCTTAAATGCTTCTGGCATTCTTCAAAATCCTAGAGTGGGAAACTGGTTGGTATTCAATCTACTATTACCAAGTCCATTTAGATTGACGGTGTGTAGATCTCTTAAAGATGTAGGTATTCATTCTACAACTGTTCATTAAATTAAAAATCCAGAGTGGCAGGAGAAATTGTGGCATTTGGACTAGTGGTTGGTCCTTGTACCTGGGTCTTTTAAGAACTTTTCAATGAGAACCAATTTATTTTTTCAAAGAGAGAGAAAGAGATTGATTTTCTCTTAATTCCCAAATATATTTTCATACACAAAAATATGTTGATTTTATTCAACCTCAAGGTCTTATACCAGTTCTAGAGGACTATACAGAAAATTGTATAAATTTGAAAGAAATAGTTCATAATAGAAGAAATGGACTCATTTCTCTCCCTTTTACACATAAAGGTGTGAGCAGTATAACTTCTGCCATAGAAGTTTTTTAAAAGACTATTTTAATATCCTCTCTTTCTCATATTATTGTGTCCATGTAGTATTATATACTTACCAAGGACTGACTGAAAAAAATGCCATATTTCAATCATGAAAATAATATAATCATAAATTATAATCTGATTTTTTTTGCTTGCCTATTCATTCATTCTATGTTTTGCATAGCATATTTAGCATTGTTGTATTTTCTATAATTATACTGTAGTGTCTTTGAAAACTCTTTTTTTGTGTGTGAACTATAAAGAAAGCTTCTACTCTGGCTTCTTAGCCTTCAAGTTTGTATGTCTCTCCCCCGCGACAAAAGTTACAGTATCATAGGTTGTAATTGGTTGTGTTCTGAGTTATCCAAAGTTGGGAATGTCTGAAGTGGAACAATTTCACACAGAATGTGTATGGGCACAGAAAGAGTGACAGTACAGTTCAGTTAGATTCAGTCCTCTTGAGCCTATCAAGATCTATGGGGGAAGATGGGGTCTGACTGGAATTTCTTTCCTATAGTCAGCATGAATAACTGAAGAGAATCTAGCAGTCTGTAAAAGGCCAATGGTATCAGGCCAATGTCTCTCAGGAAAAGAAAACCAAATAACAAAGCTGAAAGCAAGCTATCATGCAAGGAGGAACGAGTGGCAAAAACTCTCACCAAAGTAACTAGGAAAACGTATCACCAACAATTCAGAATTTTGACTTTGTTTAATTCTCATGATTCTTTGGTGATGGTTTACAGAAAAAAATTCTAACATTTACAAAGAGCCTGAGATATCTGAGTATAGTAATCTATGGCTTGTGGTTATGACTTGAGTCCATTTAGGGAATGGATTTATTCTTGTCTGTTAAAGTAGAGGCTTGGTAAACCTTTCAGATTACTCATGGATAGAGATAATGAACATTTATGAAAGCTACCTATAACCTTCTTTTTCTAGGACAATGAATGAGACAGAGTGTTTTTGGTTGAGGAAGTCTTCAGTCCACACTAGGGTAAATAATGGTGACCATTAATGTTAGGACATCTGGAGTATGCTTTCCAAGATAAACATTATATTAGAGCTTATTTCAAGCACGAGAAAGAATTATGATTAGAGGATACAACAAACACCTAAGAGTATAGAATGATTCTGTTAAAAACTTTTACACAAGACATTTTAAGTGGTTTTATCAGAACTGTACTCTTCCTGCTTCCAAGTACCCTGAGTTGCAATGAAAACAAATTTTCTTTTAAGCTCCCCAGGAAACCAAATAGCAAAAAACTTTTAAAGAGGTGACATAACAAAAATACATAGAGAATTTTACTTCTGGCCATGAGTGAATAGCTGAGTCTAGAATTATTCTCTGAGCATAAACAACTAGGTAATTTGGAACAAATTTAGAATAAAATAAAGAACAAAACATCCCAGGTATGCAAGTCTGGGTCAACATTAAAAAATTAGTGCGTCTATCATTTCAATGGATTAATAGGAAAAAAATCACATGATTATATCAATCATGTAAAAGAGGTAGTAAAAGCATTTGACACAATACAACACCCATTCTTGACTAAAAAAGAACTCTCAGTAAACTAGGAAGAGAAAGACACTCCCTCAACTTGGTAAAGAACTACAAAAAAACTACAACTTATATTATACTTAATGGTGAAAAATTCACCATTCAATGGATTAATAGGAAAAAAAATCACATGATTATATCAATCATGTAAAAGAGGTAGTAAAAGCATTTGACACAATACAACACCCATTCTTGACTAAAAAAGAACTCTCAGTAAACTAGGAAGAGAAAGACACTCCCTCAACTTGGTAAAGAACTACAAAAAAACTACAACTTATATTATACTTAATGGTGAAAAACGAAGCTTTTCCACTAAGAACAGGTACAAAGCAAGGATTTCTCCTCATACTCCCTTTCAGCATCATACAGGACATCCTTGCTAATGCAATAAGCCAAGCAAGGAAGTAAAAAGGTCTACAGATTGGGAAGACATAAAATTGTCTTTGCTTTCACATAACAGGACATCTGCATAGAATATCTAAAGAATTGACAAAAGTGCTCTTGGGAACTAATAAGCAGTTATGGAAAAGGTTGCAGGATACAAGATTAATATACAAGAGTCAATTGTTTTTATATACCAACAATGAACCAGGGGATTTTGAAATTAAAAACACAGTAAATACTATTTACATTTGTGCCTTCAAAAATTAAATACTTACATATAATAAAATATGTCTGAGGAAAGTACAAAACTGATGAATAAAATGAAAGAAATAAATAAAGAGATATGTCATGTTTGTGGACAAAGAAGACTCATTACTGACAAGATGTCCATTCTTATCAACTTATTTGTAGGTTCAGCGCAATCCCAATCAAAATCTCAGCACATTATTTTGAGGATATCAACAAACTTCTTCCAAACTTTATATGGAGATGCAAAACCCAAAAATTGAAGGGGAAGAACAAAGTTAAAAGACTGATGTTACTTGACTTAAAAACTTACCATAAAGTTACAGTAATCACGACAGTGTGATACTAGTGAAAGAATAGACAAATAGATCAGTGGAACAAAATGGAAATCTCAGCAATAGAACCCTGCAAATAGAGTCAACTAGTCTTTGATAAAGGAGCAAAGGCAATACAATAGAGAAAATATAGTCTCTTCAACAAATAGTGTTGAAATAACTAGAGATCCACATGCAAAATAATTCATCTAGACATAGAGATTACACCCTTCACAAAAATTAACTCAAAATGAACCATAGACCTCACTGTGAAATGCAAAACTATAAACTCCTAGAAGATAACATGAGAAAAACCACCTGGCAGACAGAAACCCTTTTCACAGCTGGATATTATCTGTGTTGCTCTCCAGCTCTGGTGCCGTAGGCTGTGCAGCCCATTTTGGGATTTAGATCCCAAATTTCTCAGGGGGAACCCCCAGCCACTGAAATATCCCTCTGGCACTTCAGCTGTCATCTGTGGGAGCTCAGCCAGTCCTCTCATACTGTCTCCTCACTCCTTACCAGTCTCTTTGTAGTGAAATGATTTCTTCAGTCTGTCCTTGGTTATAAGGCTTCTCTCCAGCTACCGTTCAGTTCATTATTCAGGATGCTTTTTCTACAGTTTAGTTGTAAGTCTAGATTGGTCATGGGAGGAGGTTAGTGCAGCTTCCACTTACTACTCTACCATCTTGGATCTCTCTTTGAAACTATGTTCTTCCTTTTTTGTGCTTATCTTTCTATCTTTTCTTGCTTTCTTTTGAATTAAAAATTATTATTCCTTTTTTCTTTCTATATTTTAAGTTAGATATCGTATTATTTTCAGTGAATTCCCTAGGAATAAAATATGAATAATTTTAAAGTATAAAGTTAATCAATCTTTTTATGCTTCTTAGATAATTTGAGAATCTTGGACCACTTTAGCTCTGACATATCCCCTGATTTTTATTGTTTAATTTTAATTTTATCCTATTTTTAAACATCACCATATATTATTATTTATTAGTTCATATTCATTTACTCCCAGATATTTACCATTTTGTTTTCATTCCTTCTTCCTGAAGTTCATCCTTGAGAATTTTCATTAACGAAGGCCTACTGATGGCTAATTCAGTCATATTTTGCTTATCTAGAAATAATAAGTTTCATAAGGAATAACTAGAAAGTATTATATACTAATTTGTTAAATGATAAAGTATAATGCTGTTTAAAATAAGCTGAATCTAAAATAGTTTTTACTTTGGAAGCAATGAGTATGAAAGAAAAACTATTACAATTTTTACTTTAAAATCAGATATAAATCAAAACTATGAATCAATAGTTGTTTCTAATTCAGAGGATTCAAACATTCCACACAAGTAATTTCAGCTTTACTTATACAACATGAAAGTATGTTAATAAAATTTTTCTGCAGCTGTATAACTGTTAATATGTTTATCAATACATGACAAATATTAGCTGCCAAGTTCAAATTTAATTGTATTAAATGTAATATTTATATTTTACTTCAGACTTTCAAATGAGCAAACCACATTAGGTATGAAATTTACCTCAGATAGAACAGTATGAAGGAAAAGCATAAACTTGGGTTCTCACAGTTCAGGACTTTTGTTATACCATTTTACCAACTTCTCATTAACTTCTTTTTCTTAATTAGTGCATCTTTATTTTATCTTCCCAAATAAAATAAATAGTTTTAGGGTCAGTAACTATATTAGGCCTTTTATTTCTTAGATACAAAGCACAGAGTTATACATGTTTAAAATATAGTATGTCTTATTCACTGATTGATGTTCCCAGTATGTAGGCAATCCAAATCTGGATTACAGATTGACACGAGGCTACTGTATTTCCGAATTAGTTTCACATTCAATTGTGTAGAACTTTGGGTGCCCAGTTTATCATGGAAAAGTTTTCTTTTTAAATCTCTCAGCTGCCTTGGGAGGCCTCAGCTGATTTTTATTTTCCTCAACTAGCTAAGATCTCAAAATGAAACCACAAATTCTTTAGGATAACCTTAAGGAAAAAGTGGCTGTAGTACTTTGTTACTTTCTTTGGGTTCTTACTTATTTTTTCATTTGCCCTGGTAATTTCTTTCTATCTTTTCTGTTGTGTAGTGCTTTCAAAAGGTGTGTTTGTGTGTGTTCCATCACTTTTGATTGTTCCCAGTATTGGGTAACAGACCACATAACTGAGAAATCCAATAATAGGTTCTACCTTAATTCAGAAATTATAAAATTAGTAAGGACATTTATGTATTTAGTTGAAATATAATTTTATTTGCATTATTATTTATTAAAATTAAAATTTTCTGAAATTCTTTAGTTTAATAAATATCAAAGATTATGCTTTCTCTGGTTGGACTAAGAGTAAAAATAATTTTGTATCCCTTCAGAGTCGTATGGATATTTACATGTCACATAACCCAGCGGGAACCTCTGTTCAAAATATACTCCACTGGAGTCAGGTATAACTTTTAAAGTACACTTTAGTACAAGTTTATTTATACTATCCATGGTTTATCATATCATTCTAGGATTCATGCCATTGCCTTAAAATGATAAATTTGGAAGGATAGAAACAATTATTACATATTTGTAACACATTACAGTTTATAATGAAATAATAAGAGCAAAATAATTATTTTCTGTTTCACAGCTGAGAAAATGTTAATTCAGAACAGTAGAATAAGGACTAAGTCATGCCCATCTTTTGACTTGCGTAAATATTCAAAGCCACTCCTTTAACAAACTAAACAAACAAGTTTTTCACAAGATTAGATTTTCTCCTCTGCTAAATTGTAAACTCCACGGGCACCATTATCAAGTTTATTCATTTTTTATATTCACAAGGCAAAGTGTAATTCCCAAAGAGTAGATACTCAAAATCATATGTTGAATGAATATTGATGAAGAAAAAAAATTCAGTGTGAATATCATAGGAATGCTGAGAACCAGGATAATATCACAGAAAGAACACTATTCTTGAGGTCACAATACCAAACATTGAATCTTTTCTCTGAACCTTACTGTCAGTGATATTGAGTTAAACTCCTTCAATCTTTATGAATTCAGTTTCCTTAATTTATAAAATAGAATTAATATTAATTTTCTGACCTAATAAAAATATTGTGAGATTAAATAGGATAATAACTATGAGTGTTTTTTAATTTAATAAATAAACACTAGGTAAATTTAAATTGTCATTAAGATGTTGGTTAAGGACTTTCTCATTTAAAAATGTTTAAATCTACTAAGTTATCATTTAAAAATGTTATTAAAATTATTTTATTATAAATTATCCTTTAGTTTATACCAGAAAAATCTAAGCAGTCTTTGCATTTATTCATTCAATGAAACTATTTTTATTGACTACTTACTATGCATCCTGTACTGTTCTATGCTCATTGTATACATCAGTGAACAAAAAAAAATTCATGCCTTCCTTAAGCTTAAATCCTAGTAGTAGATATATAGACAGTGAACAGTAACCATAACAAATAACTAAATTATTAAAATGTTAGAAGGGCATAGAAGTTATGGAAAAAATGAGAGGAAAAAAAGATAAGGCATGCTAGGTAGTAGGTTGTACTTTTCAATATAAATGTTAGGCCAAGCCTCAATGTGATGGTGACATTGGAGAAAAGATTTAAAGGCGATGAGAAAGTTAGCAACGTGAAGATCTGGGGAAGAGCATTCCAGATAAAGGGAAACAGCTGATGCCAAGCGCTTTGTCAGGAGCATTTCTAAAAGGCACAGATAAGAGGTCTGTTTGACTAATGTGAGTGATTCAAGGGAGTGTCATAGGAAAAGGCAGATACACGATCAGGCAACAGGAAGGAACTTGTATGCCATTGCAGGGACTTTGGCATTCAGTATGATGTGGGTAACCACTGTAGGTTTTTGAGCGGAAAGGCGACATGACATGACTTACATTTTTAGAGAAATACTTTAGCTGCTACAGGAATAGATTGTAGTGAGGCAGTGAGAAATTTAGGTTATTGTAGAAACCCAAGCACTAATTAATAACGGCTTGCACTAATGTGTTCCTATTAGAGGCAGTGAAAATGGTTAGATTTTGAATATGTGTCTATTGTAAACATGAAGTCAACAAAATTTAATGATGGATTATATGAGATGTAAGAAAGGAGAGTCTTGAATAACTCCAAAGTTTTTGACCTAAGGAATAAAAAGCTAAAATTGCCATGAAAGGAGAAAGAGAGGTTTGATGGTAGAGCAAGTTTAGCAGAGAGCTGAGATGTTCTTTTCTGCGGATGTTAAGTATTAGGCATCCAAGGGATGAATTTGAATAATTTGAATAAGCAGTTTTTTATGAGTCCATACTCTAGAACTAACTTATAAAAGAAGACAAACATTTGGAATATGAATGACATTTAAAACCAAGAAACTGGATGAGAACACAAACAGTAAGCACAGAGAAAAGAAGCAAAGATTGACTGCTAAAATATGAAAAGATTAAGATGTTAGAAAGAAAAGCATAACAAGGAAACTAAAAAAGAAAAATGAATGAAAATGAAGATCAAGAAATAACAGTATTATAGAAGGTAACTAAAGGAAAGACCTCAAGGATGAGCAAATGAACAGTTGTGTCAAGTACTGCTCATACATAGCATGAGAAACTATCTCAGATAGACCAAGGTTTTAAAAATATCTAGGTCTTAATTAACCTTGGCCAGTTTTGGTAGAAACAAAGAGCTACCAAAAAAAAAGTGTTCTCAGGGAAAATCAGATTTTTGATAGAGCAGGAAGATACAGAGGCCTGTTAGATAAGGGTTTTAAGATCTAGACTGATGATGGAATTCCAGATGGCAGAGAGAGTTTTTGGAGTTGGAGACAATTGGAAAGAGATAAAATGGAGCAGGGGTGGGGGATATGGAGACTTACAAAGTTTACAGTATCAGAGAAGATGGGAACCCGAGAGCCTACATGTTTTGTAATGAAAACATAATCAAAGAGGAAAGTAGACATATCCATATTAGACTAAATAGGCTCAGAGCACATAGTGGTGGTGAGAATGTGAGTGTTAAGGGTGAAGAAAGCACATTTAGGGAAGTATCTCGTTAATCCTAGATCACTTAGTGTTAGATACTTACTTTTGACATCTGTGAATGAAGCTAAGGATTTCTGGCAAAGCCTGATATTACCCTAAACACACAAGCCCCCTTTAACAAGATAAAAGGCCCGAGGATGAGAGCATTTAAATGAAGAAGATAGATTCATATTCTGTAGAAACCCCTGCCCCCAACTCCCATATGCCCTCTTCCACCCATAATTATATGTAAAGGAAGGAAGGAGCAATGAAGGTCACCTACACATATACCAATAGACCCAGGAAAAAGGGACTATATGTAAATGCATTCCTAACTTGTATCTACTGCCTCTGTAATGAAGATAATGGAAAAAAAAGGGTATAGCCTTACTTTTTTATTTTTTCTTTCAGCTTTTCAACTCTACTTACTTGAAAGCTTTTGACTGGGGCAGTCCTATTCTGAACTTGGTTCATTTTAATCAGGTACATAATTATATATAAACTGAAAACTATCTCCCTGATCAATTCAGAATATCTTGCTATAGATAAAGGCTCATCTGTAAAGCCCAAGAGTACAATGACACAGTAAGGACGGGCTGTAGATAAAGGTCACGTTGCTTTGGATCCATATCGTCACATCCTGTCAAGTGGCTTTTCCATGTTTTCTATGTATTTTGACAAATATCATGGAGAAGCCTAGAGAAGTTGATAGGCAATAGAATAATTGATCATCCCACAAGAGAAAAAAATATTGTTTATAATATACATAGCTCTGTGTTTGCTTAAATAAGAAATAAAAAGAATAATATAGTTTTTGACCCTAAAACTATTTTATTTGGGAAGCTAAGATAAATACATATAATAATTAGGCAAGTGTAAAAGTTAAAGAAAAGTTGGTAAAAAATAGTATGAGTATAATAACGAAAGTCCTAAAGTATTAAAACCCAAGTCTGTTGGTTTCAAAATTTACGGTTTTCCACCTCACTTTTCTTCACTAGCTACACTCTGTGCCTGATGTGGTTTGCTTGTGTAAAGTTTGAAGTAACATAAACATCAAATTCAATAAAGTCAGATTTGACCTTGGCTACCAGTATTTATCATTCATTGATGAACACATTGACAGCCACAGAAAAATTTGACTATCATACTTTCTTGATTTATAAGTAAAACTGAAATTACTTCTGTGGAATGTTTGGATACCCTGAATTAGAACAAACTATCTAGTTTTGATTTGTATCTGATTTGTTTCAAAGTAAAAATTATAATAACTATTCTTTCATATTCATTGCTTTAATAGTAGTAACTACTTTAAATTCAGATTATTTTAAAACAGTTTTTTATTTAACATTTAAAGAACTAGTAAATAACACTTTCTAGTTGTTATTCCCTGTGAAAACACTTATATTTACTCATTTATATTTAGACAACTGCTCCATTGTACAATGTGACAAACATGAATGTGTCAACTGCAACTTGGAATGGTGAAAATGACTTGTTGGCTGATCCTGAAGATGTCAATATTTTACTTTCTAAAATAAGAAACCATATTTACCATAAAACTATTTCTTACTACAGTCATATAGACTTTTTGTTCGGATTAGACGTATATCATCAAGTTTATCGTGAAATCATTGGTATTATCCAAGGCAATCTATAAAAATCATGGTGCTTGTTTTGAAGAATCTACATAATTTTTAATAAAAAACAGTTATTTTTCCTTACTATGTATGTATTTCCAGTTATTTAAATAAAATCTGAAAATTTTCCCTATATTTTTCATTGTCCTTAGGCCTTCCATTCTTCAAATCGGCGACATTTATTATATCTGGGAAATAACAAATAACTCAGCCTAAAGAAATCTGTTGTGTTTCTAAATAGAATATAAATAAGTAAAACAAAACAAACAAAAACAAACAAAACCTTGAACATTTTTAACTGCAAAAGATAGTTTTTTGAGAAAGATGTGCTTGTTTTTTAAAGATTTTATTTATTTATTTTTAGATAGAGTGACGGGAGAAGGAATGAGAAGTAGAGAAACATTAATGTGAGAAAGAAACATCAATGGGTTGCCTCTTGGGCCACAGCCTATGCATGTGCCCTGCCTGGGAATCAAAATGACGACCTTTTGGTTCACAGGCCAGTGCTCATCCACTTAGCCACACTAGCCAGGGCAAAGATGTGTTTTTTAAAAGAAATATGAGCACATATGATATTATAAAAATAGATTTAGGAAGAATACCTGCTGATATGAAAGCTAATTTTTCTCTATTCTGAATGAAGAGTAAAACACTTTCTGAGCTAGATATAGGAGTTTGGGGGCAAAAAGGAGAGTAAATAAAACCTTGATGCTAATATAATGTCTTTGCCAACTGCCACATTTTAGGCTAAATTCTAGAGATAGGGAGAAGGTAGAAACCATAGAGAGGGGTATGCCTCTCTTCTTGGGTGTATAGCCTGGGGAGACTGCGTTTGCCTGTCCAGCTTAGGGTGTGTTAAAGTAGTGATTGATGTATATTGACACATAAATAGATTTGAGGGTGGCTTCACAAATTATGCGCTGCAGCTTAGTGTATGAAAGATCCAAGAGCCTCTTACGCACCAGAAAAGTGCAGATGTATTCAAAAGGGTACAGAAGTTGGGAAGATTCAGGATGAAGGAATACTGTCAGTAAATGCAACATATATTAAAGGAGCCAATGGGTATCTCCAGCAGAGGCAAAGCACACTGCGGATTTATGCTTCAGGGGAGGCCAAACCTCCTTCCTTCCAATTCATAAATAATGTATAACCTCACAGGTCTTTGTAATCTCTAGGGAGAGCAATATGGGAAAGGGGAATTCTAAAACTGAGTATGAATTTACCACAGAAGATTGAGATAAGCAATCCATAATTTACTGAATTGGAAAATTGAGTTTTCTAGCTCAGACAAAATGGAGGTTGAAAACCACATCAAGTTCAATTAGTTTTGAAGTTGCAAAATTTGTATTTAACATATGCTTATGGACTTTAAACATTGTTATGCAAAAATAAATAGCATGTGAGTAGATAGAAAAAATAAAATGCATGCACATATTATTAATATAGCCAAGAGAAGTAAAAAAAATAACTTTAAAGATAATAATTAAGCCTAAAGATAAGTGTTTTTCTTTGTTTGGTAACCCTATTAAAATAGTAGAGCACTGAGAATAGATGTATATTAGCAATCTTTTTAAGAATGTTGATATAACATGTGTTACTTCAAAGTTTTCAAATAATCCTTCAGAAAACACAAATGAAATAGGATAATTATTAAGAAGAATTATCCTTTAGACAATAAATTGAAAGTAAGAATGCATATAATATACCCCTAATGGGATATTAATATTTTTAATGTTTGACCAGCTGGCCAGACCAGGACAATAGTCAACATCCAGACTGGTTTTTGTGTAAAAATTTTAAACCACCCCTATCTTTCTGTCTTCAAAAGAGTCAACAGAAAAGATACAGTTTCAATCATGTATTTTACTATTGTTTTAAAGGTTAGAAAAAAAAAAATCTGTCTCTCCCCTAATCTCAGACTCTATGTAAAAGGCCACCAAACTTGCCAGGTATGTTGAACTACTGTGGCTTGGGCCTTTATATTTTACTAATATGCTAGTGGTCTTTTTTCCTAGAAACTGGATTTTAAAGTCAACTCATCAATAATTATAATATTAACAAAATACACATTCTTTTCTAGTAGAGTATGGTTTTACAAAGACCTAATGTTACTTTTAAGTATAATTATTTGAGAAAATTCTTTCCTTTCTTTGTATTCATTTAGCCTGCTCTTCCACAGTACCAAGTGACGGACAGAAGCACCCCACCTACACTGTAGATGGGAAAAGCTCTCACTGAATGACCCTAAGGATGCCAGAAACTTACCCTGTCAAATTCCTAACCTCATTTACCTTCTGTCTCTACCTTCTACAATCAATTGGAGATGATCTGGGAACATGAAACACTTTTGGGACATTTAATAGAAAATCATTGGCATGATTTTAAAAAAAGTCTTACTACTAGATGCAAAGCTTTGTGATTCATTGTCAGTGGAATTGTTTTTCCTTAATGCTATTAATTTATCTTTCATATTTTTTCATAGTATTCCTTAAATTTTGCTAGAGAATCTAATAGGAGTAAAGGAGCTACTCACTTTAGAAATGCCTGGACCTAAATACACTCATGTTTACATGGACCCCAGGTTATGAACGTCTGTCTTTTATAAATGTCAGTGCTAACTATTCAGAGGGATAAGGGCCAGTCTAAGTTTCTAAGGGGAGTTGTAATGACAATGTAATCACTCCTAAGAGCTAAAGAAACTTTGGAGTCTTCTGAAGACAATCAAATAAAGTCATTTCATAAGCACCAAAAGTTATCTCATGTATTCGTGAAATAATGCATTTCTCTTTCATATAGCCCTTTGTTTCTTCACAGTACTTTTCAGAATGTATGAAAACTTTTTTAAAAAATCTATATTGGCTTTTGAGAGAGAAAAGGGAAGGAACAGAGAGAGAGAGAAACAGAGAGAAAAAAACATCAATTTGTTATTCCACTTATCCATGCATTCTTTGGTTGGTTCTTGTATGTGTCCTGACTGGGTATTGAATGCACAATCTTTATTGTCTCTCTATGCCCTAAAATTTAAGCTCCTAGGGATCAGGAATCTGGTTTGTATTTTTAAAGACTATATTTCCAACTTCTGAGAGAGTTTTAAAGCTTATTACTCAATAAGTACTTGATCAATAAGTAAATGAGACCTTAAGCAATTAGTCATTATTTATTATACAATATTAAATTACCATTTATTATGTATCTATGTCATGCCTAATGCTAGGTAGATTGTGTAAATCATATTATTTAATTTTTATAAAAACTCTCTGGGAGGTAGGCACTGATATCTTGATTTTACAAATGAGTGAAGTGAGAGACTGAAAGTAATATCAACTCATCCATGCAATAGGTCACAGTGCAAGAATTTGAGCTTGGTCATTATGACCCTAAAGTCTATGCATTTAGGTTTACAGTATACTTTCCTGTGTCTAAAACCAAAGATGAAAAAGTTTTCCTATAATATATAGGACAGTATATACCTGTGGGCAGGCTGGCACAATCTTATAGATCTTGTCAAGTTCCTTCAATAAAGCCAACACAAAACACTATTGACAACACTATCTTATCTTTACTTCTCTCATTCTTTAGATTTCACCAAACATTTGCTTTTATATTACCTCTTTAGATCTCTAGTCATGTGTTCATTAATTTATTCATTATTTTATTCAGCATACACAGTCTAAACTGGAAAGCAGCTTGTATTTAAAACATGGAAAATGCTGATACAGTGATACAGATTTAGACCTAGGACACCCAGGGGCACAACCTAGTAATTCTGCAGGGAGATTCAGAGAAGCCCCTACCATGGAGGTGACATTTAAAGTAAATATTGAATCTTGAGGAAAAGATACCAAGCAACAAAAGGAAATAAGAGCCTTCCCGTGACATACGTCCCATGTAGTTGGGCAAATGTTGTTAATATATAGTTTATTATGTAAACTAAAGCACCTTGAATACGTGAATCATACTACATATGGTTCTATAGGTGCAACTATTTCTCCTGCTCTTGACCTCTCAACATTACATCCTAATTCAAAGATGCCTTCCACACTAGATTCATGTTTTTATTTGTCCTAATTAAAGCCTTAAATATTAATTTCATCACTGGTGTTTTTAATATCTATTCCAATGGTTGTGGAGTCAAAGTGGTTTTCATGGAACAAGTTGTACAGCTTTTAAATTACATCTTTTCTTTCAGGAGCTTATAATTTTCTATTTTAACAAAATTTCTTATCATCAGCATAAGAAATAACAGGTAGTAATATTCTGATACATATTTTTCTCAGGTATATTGAAATATCCTCCTCTATGTTTTACTTCTATGAAATCAATCACATAATTTTTTTTAAGTGCACCAGGTAGGTTACTATTGCAAAATGATATTTGGTTTGCCTATGCATAAATGTACACAGGGAATTTTGGAATTTTTTCTTTCTTTAATCATTTTTTCATCATACTTATTGACTGTCTACTTTGTTCCAGGCAAGGTGTAGGCACTGAGGATAGAATGGTTATTGAACAACTAGGAACCCCTGGACTTAAGAAATTGCTGTGTGTGTGAGTGTGTCATGTCCAAGTGAAGAGGTCTACAAAACAGCCTATCAATCAATATGTCCTATAATAATGTTAACTGTAGTTCCATGGTGATACATAAAAATAATTTTTAGTTCAGTGTGGAAACAAAAAACAGTGTTATCATGGCATTCCTCAGGAAAAGAATGGCTGAACTGAGACCTAAAGATGAAGGAGAGTTAGCAAGAGGAAAAGGAATGGAGCAGGGTTGAGGAGGTTAGGGGGACCCTTAGGACTAGAGAAAACATCATGTCTCCTCATGGACGTTAGTGTATGTTGTGAGCTGGAAACTGACTCCCTTTGACTAGTTTATATGACTGATACAATTACACCTAGGTAATTAGAATTTAAGGTATTTATAAAGAAGCAAGACCATATTTGATTTTTGGCTGCATTATCATTGTAAGAACCATAGATCTCTTTGATAGTCTACTAGGATTTATATATGAGCAGACTC